AAAGATGTTGCTGGTTGCGATGAAGCAAAGCAGGAAATCATGGAATTTGTGCACTTTCTCAAGAATCCTAAGAAATATGAGGATTTGGGAGCCAAAATTCCCAAGGGAGCTCTATTAGTAGGCCCTCCAGGCACTGGAAAGACCCTTCTAGCAAAAGCAACTGCAGGGGAATCTGGTGTTCCGTTTCTGTCTATATCTGGATCAGACTTCATGGAGATGTTCGTCGGTGTTGGACCATCTAGAGTTAGAAACTTGTTTCAGGAAGCAAGGCAATGTGCTCCGAGTATTATATTTATTGATGAGATTGATGCAATTGGTCGAGCAAGGGGGCGTGGCGGATTCTCAGGTTCCAATGATGAGCGTGAGAGTACTCTAAATCAGTTGTTGGTAGAGATGGATGGCTTTGGAACAACTGCTGGAGTAGTTGTTCTTGCTGGCACCAATAGGCCTGATATTTTGGACAAAGCCTTATTAAGGCCTGGTCGATTTGATCGCCAAATCTCTATTGATAGGCCCGATATTAAAGGTCGTGACCAGATATTTCAGATATACTTGAAAAAGATCAAACTTGATCATGAACCATCATATTATTCTCAAAGGCTTGCAGCCCTGACTCCAGGGTTTGCTGGGGCAGACATTGCAAATGTTTGCAATGAAGGTGCTCTAATTGCTGCAAGAAATGAGAGTGCACTGGTCACAATGCAGCATTTTGAGGCGGCTATAGACAGAATTATTGGTGGTTTGGAGAAGAAGAACAGGGTAAGTCATTTTTGGATTGTTCGTTAGTTTCATGGCATATGATAACTTTGTTTCATTTCTTAGTAAATTTACCATTCCCTTCCCTCTCATCTCCTCATTGTCTGAAAATGAAAGAAAGAGCAATGCTGCATAACATGGGCCGGCACAGCATTGTGTCCTCCCTCCTTAGGACTCCGGTCTTTGCTATGATGGAATTTGTGATGTGCACTTTAGCTAGAGATTTGGTTGGAACCTTTGGAGATAATCATTGCATACCTTGGAAGAAGAAAATATTTGGAAACTCTTGTTATCCATCTTCCTAAAACTATAGTATTGGGGTTGGATCTTATGCGGCTATAGGTGGCCCCTTGTGTTGAGTTAGAACAGGTTGTTTCCATTGATCTGGACCTTGTAGGTCCCACTTTAGCCTCCATTATGTAGGTTTCAGTAGTGTTAACAAAGGTCCAGATCAAACTTATAGGTAGATATAAGGGATTTTATGTCTTAGTTGAGAATGCTTTGACTTTTAACCTTCAGTGTTTTTATTTGTCTTTGTTCTGTATAATTGGAATTTTGACATCCTTTTGCTTGTCAAACAGGTTATAAGCAAGCTCGAGCGCCGTACTGTTGCCTACCATGAATCAGGGCATGCTGTTACCGGCTGGTTCTTAGAACATGCAGAACCGTTGTTGAAAGTGACCATTGTTCCTCGTGGTACTGCAGCACTTGGGTTTGCTCAGTATGTTCCAAATGAAAACCTCCTCATGACCAAGGAGCAGCTTTTTGATATGACCTGCATGACCCTCGGTGGTAGAGCAGCTGAACAGGTAACATGAAACTTCATTAGTCTTATTTTTGAAGATGTTTATGATACGTAACGTTTCTTAATTCTTCTTATTCTTCTATCGTCATCCTCAAGTTCCTTGGAACTTCATTACTCATCTAATGATATTGTTGGTTAACATATTCTGGGGTGCAGGTTATGTTGGGAAAAATATCGACGGGAGCCCAAAACGATCTGGAGAAAGTGACAAAGATGACCTACGCCCAAGTTGCAGTCTATGGTTTCAGTGACAAGGTAGGTCTCCTTTCTTTCCCTCAAAGGGAAGAATCATTTGAGATGTCAAAGCCCTACAGCAGCAAGACTGGAGCCCTTATCGATGGTGAAGTGCGCGAATGGGTGGGTAAGGCGTATGCACGCACAGTTGAACTCGTAGAGGAACATAAAGAGCAAATAGCTCAAATTGCAGAACTGTTGCTTGAAAAGGAAGTTCTTCACCAAGATGACCTGATCAAGGTGTTGGGGGAAAGACCATATAAACCGGCTGAAGCGACCAACTACGATAGATTTAAGGACGGTTTTGAAGAGAAAGATGCTGAGAAAACAGTGGAGACACCGCTGGTTGGGTCCGAGGATGACGGCTCATCACCCCTTGAACCTCAGGTTCTGCCTACTTAGTTATTCGTAGTTTGTACATTGTAATTTTTTTTTTCTCGGAACTTCTTCGCTAACTATTTCACACGTTTCATGAATGGTTGAAATCTGTATTCTTTATTTGCTATTTATTAAATACAGCACTTCCATGATGTCATGGAATACAAGTTTCCAAATGCTTGCTAACAACGACCACGCGTTTACCATACAAAAAGTTATAGGATTAGAAAAGCACTAAATCCTCGAGTGCTTTTTATATTGGAATTAACTTGGCTGCTAACATTTTAGCAGCCACTTTTGCTTACACCTAATTTCGGGTGGAAACATGTTCAAGTTTTGATTTTTCCACTCCTGCTTACATCCAATCCCAGGAGTGGCTGCTGAAGAATGGCTGTTGAAAATTCAGCAGTCAAGTCTTGTTCTTTTATATTAGGATGTAAATTGTACTTTAGTTGGTCAAAGATGTGACACCAACATAAAATATTACCAGCAAATCAACCGTAAAATACCTGAGTAATTTAAAGGGTTGTATGATTCACACTTCTTTTTACCACTAAAAAACTTTTTTAAATTTTTTATCGTTGAATTGAGTAAATTGAAAGATAGGTGTAAGATGTTGAATTGAGGAAATTGAAAAGAGGGTGTAAGATAAAAATGGATGTGTTGAACCACCAAGTTTAAAATATTCCCACCCTATCAAGCTCCTTGTTCTTTTTGGTGTGACACTTAACTAAAGTTGAAATGGGAAAAGCTATTTGTTCTACTCTAAATGAGTATGAGAAAATTTTTCAACGTGATTGTAACACTACTTCGTGATGTTATAAATTTAAATAGTATTTAAATATTTAAAAAGTTTGTTTTAAATTGATGAGGGCCAAGATGTTTCGCAAAACGGCAGAAAGATCTAAGACAACCTCGAAACTATAGAGCCGGCCAAAATCATCAACAATTCCTTCCTCTATGACGAAGGTTCAGAAGGAGAGGTTGTTGCGTTGCTTTAGCAGGAGCTGTTATTAGTACATAAATACTCGTTTTTTGCACCTGTACCGTAACATGTATATATAATATTAAGCTATAAACTAAATATTCATAACACTACACCTAGTGATGACAGATGGCAGAATTTCATCTGGGTTGGAATCCTATGAGAGTTCCACTAGATATTCATGGTGTGGTCGACTATAACATTTCGAAAATTTATCCTTGTGTTTGTGATATCAGTCTTGAAATGCACCTTAAATAGCTTTCAATGTGACATGCACTTCCTATTTTTATACTATATATATGTTGATTGTTGAGGATTTGATATGTTTCACATACTTTCACTGTTGATATTAAAAGCGTGAGGCGTGGGCGAGGCGTCCGAGGCGAAGCCCAGCCTAGGCGTGAGGCGAAGCCTTACAGGATTTAATTTTTTATATATATATATGTTTTATATATTATACATATAATTGTATAAAAAATAATACTATGTAAAATAAACATCCATTCTCAATTTTTCATTCAAATCCATAGTCATTTAAAAGATAATATCATTTAAATTCATCATTCAAAGGTAATATCACCCAAATTCATCATTCAAAAGGTAATACAAACAAAGAAAACAATCATTCATCCAAATCATCTTCATATAAATCAAAATACAAACAAAGATATAAATCATTCATCTAAATCCTTTAGTCCCCACTAACAATTTATTAATTAATTTATATACCCCTTTAGTCCCCACTAATTAGGCCTAACATTTAGAAATATTTGGGTTCAGCCAATTTATCAAAGTGCCAATTTATGGCACACGGACATAATTTATGACAGGAGCATTAAATTGTACATGTATAATATAAATGCAAAACAGTTTATGGCAGCCAATAAAACCGTGGGCTGTCCCCCTGGTTTCTACTCTGCTTCCTTCTCCCTCTCTCTGTCTCTCTGTCTCTCTCGCAGAAAGCCTTCCCCAGAAAACTTTTGTCTAAAAACCGTGGGTCTGTTAGGCAGAGCATGCAGAGGCAGATTTAAACCTTTTCTGTCTAAAAACTGTGGGTCTATCTCTCTGTTTTCTACTGTGATTCTTTCTCTCTCTCTCTCTCTCTCTCATTCGCAGAAAGCCTTCGACAAGCCTTCCCCAGAAAACCCCAGAAAACTTCTTAGTTAGGCAGAGCATGCAGAGGCAGATTTAAAACTTTTCTGTCTAACTAAGTAACTATTAACCCCTCTATAGCAAAACCTTCCCCAGAAACTAAATCCCTAATTTCAGAAACCCTAATCTTTGGGATCTTGCTGACGGCGCTGGGGCTGGGCTGATGGTGCTGAGGTGACGGTGGCGGGGTGATGGCGGCGTGGCAGCGTGGTTTTTTTTTTAAAAAAAAAAAAAAAAAAGGTCTGACAAGGCGTCCAGACGCCTTGAGGCGCGCCTCCGCCGCCTCGGCGTCTCCGGCGAAGCATTTCGCCTACTCCAGCAAAACTGAGGCGTTTGCCTCTCCGCCCAGCCTCAAGGGCGCCCTGGGCGCGCCCCGAGGCGAGTTCTTTAAAACATTGGTTGATATACACGTAGAAATGCTTTCCCTTACTTTTGGTGTTCAATTTTGAATCGTGTGAGGTGTGTTGTGGCCAGTCGCGTATATATATATATATATATATATATATATATATATATATATATTATATACGTTTCTACCTTCTAGACGTTGGAGTGTCAAAGAAGGTGGCATGCTTGACCTTCCTGTGGATTTCTTATATACATATGATTTAAGCCCTCCAATATTTTCTCAACTCGAACCCAAGTCTCATCTGCACCTTCTTCTCTCTGCAACAAAACTCCCTTCCTCCTTTAAACATTGCACCTCTCTCTCTCTCTCTCTAAGTAACTTTCCGGCTTTCTTTTGAAGCTTTGATTTGTAGAGCTAAAATGGAATTCCAAAACCAGTATCAGCAGGCTGATCAGATGCCAGAATACGAGTGCCTTCTCTTTGGTAAGTCTTTTCCCTTTTTATCCTTTTTAAGTCTCATATATATCATGCCTTTAAGTTTCCAGACCTAAGCTTGTTAACTTGGATGTAACCAAGAGATTAGCAGTGGGCCCCCTATTCACTTATGTTCGAATCCACCTCCTTACGGTATAAATTAGATTACAATACGACTCGAATTGAAAAAAATAAATAAATAACAAAGAAACTGTTTCGTTGCAGATCTTGATGACACCCTTTATCCCTTGAGTTCTGGATTATCTAAACAATGCACCAAGAACATTAAAGGTATAGCACAATCCATCAATACCTCCTCCATCCACGCACACTTTTCATCAGTTATTTAGTGAAATTGAATATTAATTATCTGATTATTCTTAATCATCTTTTCTCAGAATTCATGGTTAAAAAATTAGGCATAGAGGAAAAAAGAGTCACTGAGGTGAATCAAGTATTGTACAAGAATTATGGAACATCAATGGCCGGTCTCAAGGCTATTGGTTACAATTTTGACAATGATGACTATCATAGGTACCAAATTATTCCATTTTCTGTTTTTAATTTATTTATTTTCCGTCATTATACGATGCTATAATCTCACAAATTCCCAAATATTACAGTTTTGTTCATGGAAGATTGCCCTATGAGAATCTAAGACCTGACCATGTCTTAAGGACTCTATTGCTAAGCCTGCCATACAGGAAACTTGTAAGCAACAAGTCACACTTAAATAGGAAATTGATTGTAATTAATTACTAATTAGCTTCAATATTTAAATATTTATTCCTCTAATTATGTTTTCTCTTGTTTTATGCATGAAACAGATTTTCTCAAATGGGGATAAGGTCCACGTGGCAAAAACCCTAAGCAAGCTTGGATTGAATGACTGCTTTGAAGGAGTTATTTGCTTTGAGACTCTGAATCCGACTAATGATGATGAAGGATGCAGCAGCACAAGTATTTTTTATCATTCTTGCTTATTTGATGCTGAAATATCAGAGCTTCCAGTGACTCCAATTGTTTGCAAGCCATTTGCAAATGCATATGAACAAGCCTTTGAAAAAGCCAACATTAACCCTCAAGGAACTGTAAGACAATTATTCTCCTACTTGTTTATGAATCTGGTGTGAAATTCTACTTACATTGCCGTCTAATTAGTTCTTACCAAGCATTCCTGAAATTTAAAATGATCCATTTCGTGTTATTAACCGTAGGGTTTGTGCTTTTAATTCGAAGTGCCAAAAGCGCTAGACAATCAGAAGCACCTTCCATGAATTTTTAGGGCTTTCTAGTAAAGAACCAAAGTGCTTTCAGTGCATTTTCGGGAAGCACTTAAAGTTGTAATAAAAATCTTCTCGTGCTTCAAAACAAAGCGCTTCTAACAGAAGCGATTTGAGTAAAGCACTTTTAACAATGAAATTTGGTACTCTTGCAGCTATTCTTTGATGATAGCATCAGGAACATACAAGCTGGAAAAAACATCGGTCTCCATACTGTATTGGTAAGTTGTAAACCGAAAATAAATATTGTTCAGTTCATGTTAGTTGCTAATATAAAACATTTCTAAACCGTATCTATATATATATATATATATAGGTTGGCACTTCCAACAGAACCAAGGGTGTGGATTATGCAATCGAGAGCATCCACAATATCAGAGAAGCACTTCCAGAACTATGGGAAATCAACAATAAGGACACAGCCATGGGTAGAACCTTTTCAGGGAAGCTGCTGGCAATTAAGACATCAGTGACCGCCTAGGTGCTTAAGCTTTTTAGCTTCAATTTCAAAGCTCCTTTGAGCAAATGGAAAAGCATGGAGGCCAGCAATTGGCTATGTATTTTCTTATGTATATCCTAATAATGTATGGTCAAATTACCAATGATCAAGAAAGCTTCTTTCTGTATTTTTTAATTATTATTTTGGGGTCTGGCTTTCTGATTTTTGCAACACATAATAACATACAACCTCCCCAAAATAAATACAACAGCCGCTGGATAACTATACATGCACCTACCAATATAAATATCAAGATTTTGGATAATAATTTATGCAAATTAGAGCATTTCCAACAACTTGACTAAATGAGACTTTGGCTACTTTAAAAAATACAGAAAAAATGAAGCTCCAACATACTGGCTAAATGACTAGTTATCTTAACTTTGTGAACAGTAACTAGCTGAATTTAGCTAGGAGGAGAGAGAAAAACTATAAAGTTGCATTGTTTGAGGGCTTTAAGAGAAGAAAAATAGGTTGGGTTGTTAAGTTTAGGAAATAGCTAGTATTGATGGAAGTTGGCTAGCCAAATTAACATTTGAGTCATTTAATTTGGCTAGCTACAATAGCATCAGATTTGCCTAGTATTGTTGAAGATGGTATAATCAATCATTTCTTCCCCTTTATTTCTAACAATTAATAAGTGGCGGATTGCTTAGGATATTTTTTTCTTGAACTCACTACATTTCCGAATTCAAACTCTTCCCACTTTTCATAATTTAGATGAATTTAATGTACATTATTCTATCGTTGTCAAATATATATATGCACGTCACAATGTGTCATCTTGGTGTCTATAGTTTAATTCTTAAACTTTTGGTATATTGTAGTATCATATGTAATGAAAAAACATTTTTCATATTTATCAAAACTAATGCATAAACCTAAACAAAGGTTAAATGCATCAGGTTAGGAAAAAAATAATATTAAAATATTTTAACTTAAGCTAAAATAGCTAGTATTGTTGGAAGTAGTGGCTAGTTATGTGACAACCCGTTCCAAATTTTACGTTTTTATTTTATTTTAAAAGCGTGAATTTACGAAAATGCCATAGAGGCAAAGATTTTGACTTATGTTGACCATCGTCTAGAGAGACGTATGACTTATTCTTTTAACATATTCTCGTAGTACTCGTGGAAGTGAACGCATAGGCGAAAGCCGTTTGCGAGTCCGGATTATAACGGTATAGTTATGGACGTTTAAAAATGGCTATTTAAAGTTTAGTTATAAATTATTTGAATTCCCACCTTGTGGGAAAGTGGCCAATCTGATTTTAGACACAAATAGGAAGGAACCAATTAAATTAGAGGGAGAGGGTGAGATCCAATCAGAAATAGAAAGAAGAAGAAGGAAAAAAAAAATCCCAGCTTTCCCCTGGGTTTTTCCAACTCGCGACCACCCATTTTTCAAGGTCGATTCCGGCCAACTCCGGTGGAGTTTTTCGATGCCACCACCACCACCATCTTGAAGCTCTCATTCCCCTCTACAAAACCCACCCAAGAACCACCTTGATTAACCATGAGATGTGGCGGTTTGAGACCACGAAAGTTGACGAAAATCAATAGTGCTCCGGCCACCCCTTTCAATTTTCCGGTAAATCGGCAAAGCGATGGCCGATGCCACCACTTGGGCTTTGTAGCTCATCATCCCAGAAGCAAAACCCAACCAACTGTTGGACCATCGTAGACGACAAATCGACGTCGGGAAGTTTTAGGCACCCGCCGGCTTTGTGGGCAAAATTGACCATCTTCTGTCCACTTTTGGACTTCGTGCCAGGAATGAAAGTTGCTCCACTCACTAAGATCTTCATTTCTGTGAAGTTTGAGAATTTTTGGAAATAGTTGGATTTTCCGGCGAGTTGGGACGGCCGACTGCCACCCACACGCGGCGGCGCGTGGCCAGTGAGCCACCAATGCTATTTTTAGGCTATGTCGAATGTCTTGAATTCAGTTTTGTTATTTGAATGACATAGGTTGATCGTTGGAACCTAAATTCATTACGATACGTTGCTTGATGAAAATGTGAATCGACGATTCGACCGTTGGATCGTCACCAAACTTGGATACATTATAATACGTAATATTTAAAGATCATAGGAATTTATGGATTGGAAATCCGATGTACGGATCTTCCCGAATTGAATTTGTAAGTTAGAAAAATAAATGTTCACGTCCACTTGGTTTTGGGCAAATGGTGGAGATCCAACCGTTGGATCGTAATGAAATTTTAATATGTTGTTCTAGAAACATATTTTGGATCGTTGGGAGTTACGGATTGGAATCTGATATGCAGATCTTCCGAGTCGAGTTATACAGGGTTGTAGACCCTACCGTCGATCTTTGATCGACTGTTGACATGTGGTCAATGGATCTCAAACTATTTTAGAATGCCTTTGAGGTTGTGTTTTATGTGAATTACGTATTCTACAGATAAGAATTCTGAGATGTAATTTGATAATTGGTCACAGGGACCAATCATTCAAGACGCCTTGATGCATGCGTTAGAGAATCATAGCGTGGACTCCAGGTGAGTGCATCTTTTCCTTTTTATCGTACATATTATTGAGAGTTTTATCAACACTTTTAAATTGATTAGGTATATTACTTTCATATATAATTATTGTGAATGCTTGAAGTACTATATGAACTACGAATGGCTTGATCCCTGTTTAGGGTACGTAGGCAGTCTAACGAGACGTTAGATGCAGTCATAATATATTTGAGACAAAAGCCTTATTTGGGAAATTGAGTAATGCGAAGGAAATTGGTAAAGGCAAGTTTTAGTTTTGTGAATTAGTTAGTTAATTAATGTTAATTGGGTTGTCATGGATAATTATCCCTGAAAATAAGTAGTTCGGGAGTAGGGCGTTATGGATTGTACATTTCACACCGTATTGTTTATAATTGAAAATGCTACAACATGGTTGAGTATTAGATTGCATTATGGTATATCCATATGTATATTACTTGCATATAATTATTGGGAATGCTTTCAAGTGCAAAGGTAAACGCAGGATACCCAGGTAAGCTTCAGGTGAGTACATGTTGATTTTAGTGATGGTAGTGAGTACGATTGTGTTGAGATATAGTATAGCTCATAAACCTGCACCCTGGTGTTAGTGCTCCCGCCTGTGGCCAGGGCACAGTCCTTCACGTGATGTTCACCTTCCGCACCTTACGCTCACCTTGGATCCAAGATAGGTGCACAGTCGTGTCGTACAGACCACTTTAGGTGGTTCCGACTCGTAGGTGACCCGCGATTCGTCGCCCAGCATTCACGTCGTAGCACTTGAGCGTATATATATTACACCCAGTCCTGTCGTACAGACCACTTTAGGTGGTTCTGACTCGTGTGCAGGTATACTTATTAAGCTATTGGTTAGCCATGATTGATGAGATATGGATAAGTCGTATAGGTCACTATAGGTGACTCCGACTTATATGATAGCCATGATTGATGAGATATGGATAAGTCGTACAGGTCACTATAGGTGTCTCCGACTTATATGCTAGCCATGATTGATGAGATATGGATAAGTTGTACATGTCATTTTAGATGACTCTGACTAACATATCATTTTGTATTGATTAAGTTGATTTGGCCTACTTATTAATGCATGGTGGAGTTGATGGCAAGCCGTGGTTTTGGTCATTTCTGAGTATGGTTTGGATATATGTATATATGTTGTACTGTCTTATAGAAAACGATAAGGGAATTACAGTGAGGGTTATTACTGTTTGAAAGGTAATAGTTTTGGGAAACTTGGTTTTACAGCTTACTCACACTTTCTGTTTTGTACCCCTTCAGGTTTTAACTGCTAAGTTCGTATCGACGAGGATATATATAGCTAATCTTAGTTTTGGTGGCTACTTTTAAGGGTATGATTCTTACCCACATTCTTGTACCTTACTTATGCTCTGACATCGTGCGTGAAATGGGTTCGCTCCCGCTCACAACGCACTCTGGTATTAAAAATTTTTAGGTTCAAATTATTCACATTTTTCTACACTCTATCACATTTTATGGCTTCGTCACCTTCCAGGTGTCGACCAGCACAACTCGATTCAGGGTCCAAGTGGACTTTCTGGGTCGGGGTGTGTCAAGCTAAATTAACATTTGAGTCATTTAGCTTATATTGTTAGAGATGCTATTATAATCGATTCTTTCTTCTTCTTTTTTCCAAAACAATCGATCCTTTCATCCCCTTTATTTCTAACAATTAATAGGTGGTGGATTGCTTAGGATTTTTTTTTCCCTCAACTCGTTGCGTTATGAATTCAAATTCTTCTCACTTATCATAGTTTAGATGAATTTAGTGTAGATTATTCTATTGTTTATCAAATATATATTTATACGTCACAATATATCATCTATCAATTGGTGTCTATTGTTTATGTCTTAAACTTTTGGTATATTGCAATATCAAAAAAATTATCTTACTAAGTAATGTGATAATTTTTTATTTGTTCATATTTCTTCGCACTAAAAGTCATCTATCGAATCAATTAATATGTAGAATTTGCCATAAAGCAAAACACCACTACGTGAAAGACTGACTATGATGATGATACCACTAAAAATCAAAATGGTTTATACTTATAACGAATAAGAAAATATAATTCCGTATAAGCATAGATGAACAACAGATGCACTAACATCGTCATGTTACTACTTTTATTTATATATAAAAAAAAAAATGTTGTTGGAATACTCTTGGAAAGGTAAAGTCCTAACGAGGTAAGAATCCTTGGAAGAAAATATTTCTATTTCTGGAGATTTTTTGTTTTTAAATTTCACAAGGTGGTGTGTTGTAATCTCTACTGAATAAAGCCTTCTATTTTTGGAGGATTTTTGAGTTTTATAAGGTGTTGTAATACCCAAACAAGAAATGATTATTTAAGTCACGATTCTCACATAAAAAAAAAAAGTGCCAAATGTTTCTTAGTCGACAAGATTTGATGTGCTGTTTCCTTGCTACCCAAAAAAGGACCTGCTTCTCTGCCCTCCCACTTTCTATACATTCTCATCTCTTCCTATTTTGTGCGATCACGGTTAAGCTACGTCAATATATTATATTGATTTTTTTATAGAGATAATAAGACAAAAAGTAATAGTAATATAAAATGTTGACGTGACCTAACCGTGACAGCACAAATAAGAGGGGATGAAAGTATATGAGAAGTAGGAGGACAGAGAAGCCAGGTCCTCCCAAAAAACCCTAAAAGTAAGAAATGACAATGAAAAACTAATTTGCCTTTGAATTTGACGGCTTAGTGGACGAATTTAATGGTAAGGGGTTAATTGGCTAATTTCAAATGGTTCAAGGGATTAATTTACCAAAATCATGGATCAATTTCAACTAAGGTAATAGTTCAGAAGATCAAACTGTAATTTACTCTAAATTTTTAATGTGTTAAGAACATAATTCTCCTATAAATATCATAATATAAGTAGTTGATTTTCAAAATATCAACCCACTTATACTATACAAATTATGTACCGACCTGTATTTTCGTCATACAGCAAATCCGAGGGGCTATCGGCTAACATGCAAAGACGAAAGAAGAAAATAGCTTAAACAATGATGATAGCGACACTTTTCCAGTTAAACGCACGTAAATTGATACGTGTCAAAACAAGATAGGGCCACGTAACGAGCTTAGATCTTTTTCTCGTTTAACTGACATTTGAACTTTTTTAAACAAATGAATTAAATAATTAAAAAACAGTTGTGTGCCTATTTAAACACACATATTGCAGGTTTCCGACTCCTTCTTTTCTTTCACCTTACCCTACTAAAATATCCTTTCTCTATCTCTCTCTCTCTCTCTGCAACGTCGGTCATTCGGATCTGGTAACCCTCATTTCTCTAGTCTGTTCTTACTTTGTTAGAAGTTTCTTACGTTGGATGTTTTTGGTAGTTGCAATTATTACAATGGTTAATGTAGGAGGAATCAAATATTGGGTTTACTATTTTGGTTGTGATGAAGCATTGTTTTCTCACTTGGAAATTTAGAATGGTTAATGTTGGAGAAATCGAATTTTGGGTTTTGTTTTGTCCGTTGAAATGTTGCTTAAATGTCTAGACTTTCTGGGATTCGAGTCATCTGCCTACTTTGATTGGGTTTTCTTGGTGAATGTTGGTTATTTGAGGCATTTTTGTGTTGGAATTTGGAAATTAAAAGATTGGATTTTTATGGTTGGAAAGAAAAGACTGAAGGTCTTGTGAGGGATTGTTGACGTTTGGTTTGAGTACATTGTGATTGCTTTCACCAAAGAGAAATTTTAAACTGTAAATATTGGATTTCATGTCTTTTTTTGGTAAATGGAAGCTGCCTTTTGCTTTTCAGCTCTTGTTGTTATGTAATTGTTTATATGCTTATGAACGTTTCGATTCGTCTTGTTTGAAGCCTTCTAGAAAACAGATGGAAAATCAGGTTCAATATCACCAATATGAGTGCCTTCTATTTGGTAAGTCTTTTCACACAAAAGGTGTTTTTATTTGAATCTATGGTTCTCGAACGGAAAATGACAACGAGTGTTGTTTCGATTTGCAGATCTAGACGACACCCTTTACCCTCTGAGTTCTGGAATTTCAGTACAAATCACTAAGAATATTAAAGGTTGTTCTGGCTTTATGATTCTGGATTAAAACTTTGGTGTGAAATGTTCATTGTTTGAATGAAATTTTTATGAATATTTGCTGTAGAATATATGATTCAAAAGCTTGGCATGGACGAAAGTGAAGTTCCCGAATTGTGCATTTCTTTGTACAAGGATTATGGGACAACAATGGCCGGTCTTAAGGTATGGTGGTTGTGATCCCTTTAACCTTTGTTTATAGCTTCTGAAAGTATGCAGAGCAGAATTGTAATTGAACATGGTTTTTGTGTTTTTCCTGATTTCCAGGCTCAGGGCTATAACTTCGATTACGATGACTTTCATAGGTACCAAATGTCCGACCTAAGTTTGTGCTCCTGTCATTGACGACAAATCGTGTGATCTAATTTTTTTCACAAAAATTGCTTTCTGCAGTTTTGTTCATGGGAGGTTGCCCTACGAGTTGTTTACTCCTGATCCTGTCCTGAGGGGTCTTTTACTTAGTCTGCCTATCCGCAAAGTAGTACGTATACAAATGGTGTCCTTAAAAAAGGGGAAGGGGGGAATTCTCTTAGATTAATGGTTTCTCTTGTGTTATGTTGCTAACTTGGTCTTCCTGTGTAGATTTTCACGAATTCGGATAAGAAACATGCGGATACTGTGCTCAAAAGGCTTGGAATAGAGGACTGCTTTGAGTCAGTTATATGCTTTGAGACACTGAATCCCACCAACAATGCCGATGATTCTGTTGGTGCAGAAGAAACTGAACATATTGAACAACCAAATACTGGTGCAGCGGTTCCAAAGACCCCGGTTGTCTGCAAACCATTCGAGCTTGCATACGAAGAAGCCTTTAAATTTGCAAACATCGAACCTCAAAGAACAGTAAGATCTCTTCTCTTGACTAGCGAAATTGAGTTAACGATAAGTTTAATAAACCGGCAGCTTACTATCTGGCATAATATGGTGTAGTTCTGTTTCGTATCACCATATATGGTACATTAAGTTCAACTCGAAGTTTGCAAAATGGACACCCTTACTTGTCTCCCACGCCACGCTCCTGTTGATTTTGTGATTCCGTTTTCTTCTTCAGTTATTCTTCGATGATAGCATTCGCAATATACAAACTGCAAAGCAGTGTGGCCTCCATACAGTATTGGTAAGTAAATCTTAATTTATACAGTTGAACTTCTGCAGTTACTGAAAAGTTGATCTAGGAATATCATCCTCACCGATATTATTTACAAAATGGTTTGTTTGCAGGTTGGCACCTCCCACCGCCCCAAAGGCGTGGATTATGCACTTGAGAGCATCCATAATATGAAGGAAGCACTGCCAGAACTCTGGGAAATCACCACTGAGCAGTCTGAAAATGTCCAAACTACACGAGAGATTGCAATTGAGCAACTGGTGGAAGCTTAGCCTACATCTTTACTCAACCACAGAAAGGAAAATAGCTTGCAGCAGAGCGTAGGACCTGCCAAATGTGTTGTCTATGATTATCATGTAATTTTTAATTTGAAATTGTAGAACGATATTGGATGGGAAGCTTGATTTAGGCACTTATTTGTCTGAATCATGCTGGAAAGACCAGTTTATTATAATAAAATTATATTGACCACAGTGTCGATACAATTCAATATTCATTTCATGTGTTTTATAATTTATGTAGTGACCACAGTGAAGATTATGGCGGTTGCTTACTTCGCTTCGCTCAGCCGAAATCACAACTTCAATGTTAGCTCTTAAGCTCTTTGCAGAGCTTCATGTCTTGTACTTGAAGTAGTTTCTGCCAGAAACTTCCAAAGGAGTGGAATCGAAGTTGTTACGGTTCGACAATTCGCTAATTGGAGGGAGCAAGGCCGTGGTTTGTGCTTTTGGAAAGAAAAAAAAAACGTCCATAAGCAACAAGTTAGAACATCCAAGTTGAATATAAATATTTGGATTGATTAAGCATTGAAAACTTCAAGTTTCATGAGTGTGTTGTTTTATGAAACTTAAAGTTCCTATGACGCTTGGTAGAGTTACTGTGGGTAGCTTCAGGACCCTTTGTGTGAGGTAAGTCATGGCCCAAGAATCTAGGGCTGGCGCAGGCTGTGAACCCTAAATTGATATGTCAATCACGATGATATCAACAAAAATGAAGGACCAATCGTCATACAAAGGAGGACAAAACTACCCACCAATAGGGGGTGTTTTTTTTCCCTCTATTTAAGAGCTTTTCTCACCTCTGTGTGAGTGATTTCCATTCTTGCAAATTCTCCACAACCACACAGCCCTAGCTGTGGCCAAGATCGGTGGTAGTCCTCCTCTTTATTTCCTTGTTCTTTTTTCTTTCCTCCGATTCTCCCATTTTTTCCACTCCCTATTGCGGGTTGGCTCCATCCTTCCTCGTTTCTAACTCTTTTCCGATATGCATGGGGATGCACTGTGTGGGCGGGAACAGTGTTTGTAGAAGGCTAGGTTTTTGTTTGTGGTGTTTTAGTTTTTGGGCTCCAACTGGTGTTTTGGGGCCTGTGTTGTGTAACTTTGGGTCGTGTTTCGCTTGTATTTGGACCTCTTGTATTTAGTTGTTGATAATAAAAATCATACCTTTGACAGAAAAAGAAAAAAAAATAAACATCACACAATGAGAAAGGGGCAATGGCGCCAATTGAAAGTGATAATAAGTTCAAATTTCATGAACTATAGTAGATAAAAAGATGGAGTATAATGTATTAAAATCACGGGCCCAGAGTTGAATACTTGTGTTAGTACAGGACAAGACATTGTTGGCACTGGCTCACCATTTAGTTCCCCCACTGCTTTCTATGGGAAGCGCTTTTCACTTGGATGCCTTCCTGAAGAAGCACTTCAGTTGTTATCAAACACTGTAATTTTCCGAACCCTAAGGACCAAGGTAAGGTTGCATAGAAGGTGATTTCCACGCACCCATTTTCACGCACAAACTTTTCATTTTTGGCCTTTGGATTAAATAAATCAAAAGCAGAATTAAGGACTGAAACAAAATATGGTTGTCCATAAAGCGAAAATGATGTGCGGAAATCATTTCTGTTTACTCTATTTAAATTGAACTCAGACATTCTATGTTTAGCACATAAAGTTGAATTGAAGTAACCCTAGCTGCCTAAGAATGAAGATCAGCAAGGCACTGAGGTCTAAAAACAATCAACAAAATTCAAGAAATATATCGAGTTATAAATATATGAACATAGTTCCATATGGTCTGTACGACAAGGAAGTTGCCAATTCATACCAACCTTCGGTTCATGTGCCTATTTACATAAGACAAGGAAGTTTCCAAGTCATACCAACCTTCGGTTCGGTTCATAAAGCATCATTCAAGTGCAGGGCACATTCTGGGGTTGGACCTTCCATTGCCAAAATAACTTGACTGTTCATCTCTCAAAAACTAATTGATGGAAGAAATGCCTTCTCTCTTTTCCTAGTTTTCGATGAAGATATGCCTTTAACCTCACCCTTTCAATGAATACTTCTTCCCCGTGAATGCTTGGAACTTCGGCTCTTCTGCCTTCTGAGGTGCATCTTCTGCCTTCTGAGACGGCTCTGGCTTGCCATTCTTTGGGGCAACCTGGGATTACAAGTACAGATGCAAACGATAAGCATGGTGTCATACTTATTTCATTTAAGTTACAAACAATGAGGGGCATACTTTTGGGGTTTCTTTTGTGGGTTGGTTGCCATTTGAACCAAACACAAGCTTTCCAGATTTACGTGTGGCAAAAGTTGATGACTTAGAATCCTTGGTTCCATTTTCACTGTCATGTTGGTGCTGCTTCAGAATGGGAGCGGACACTGGTGCAACTGATTCTGTCATGGGTTTTCCATCCAATCGTCTTGCAGAACCAGTAAATGGATTGAATTTTGGTATCTTTTCAGGTTGTTCTTCTTCAGCTGAAAGATACAAATTAAAATCAGAAAACCAAAGTTAGCTGTTAGGAAGGAATTCTAGAGTCTTGTAAACAAAAGATGAAACTAAATATACGCCCAACGCTTCGAACTTCAAACCAATTTTCAAAATTATAAACCAAAAAAATCATAAGCACCTTCTTGTGGTCTCTTCTTTGACAAAGTAGGTGGTACTGGTTTTTTGGGTTCCACATAATCAAGAGGAGGGGCGAAATCAACCTCACAGTCCGTCTCAATGATACTGATTGCAGCGGAAGGTTTTGTTTCAACTATGTTAATGTAATACTGCTTATTGTTATAAGGAACCATAATAGTATCACCAGTAGTTAAACATGAATAGCTCCTCAATGTAGTTTCCAAACTGCGAAAGCAAGAGAATTTAGGATTAAAAATAATTCTACTGTTATACCAAAGTGCAATCCGGCTACTCAAATGAAGATATCAAAGTGATTAACTAACATGGCTTTGGGGTTTGAGATATCAAGAAAGTCCTTGGTGTGGGGCTGCAACTTCACCCATGTTCCCTTTACAAGACTTTTGTTTGTCACTTGACATATGTCCCCCTCTTGAAGAAGCATGTTCTGCATCATCTACAAAAAGAAAGCACATAAATGACTAATAAGTAACACCATATCTGGAATGCTGCTGTAACAAATTCCAAGGAAATATATGTACCCACCCAGTATGGTAAATATATTAGGCCCTCATCAGCAACAAATTCCAAAACCCCACAATGAGTAACTCGTCCAACAGTAGGATTGTTAAGTTCAAACAACATAGGGTAGTCGATCTGTAAAGATGCTGGAGAAGAAAAGTTCAAATTTAGTTGGAATCAGCATATATCAAGATCGGGTCACATAACTTGAAATCCAATTTGCAAAGGCAGGACAAATAAGAGACAGAATGATCAATTACCGAGGCGATCAAGAGCTGAGGGAGGCATTATAACTGGAAGGACAAATATAACAAAAACATGATTAGACAAGTATTCAGTAATATCATATTCTACGAAAAAATATATACATAATGGCATGTATCATATAAACAAACTAATCAAGAAAATAAACATACTTTTATCACCCTTCTCCAGATGTGGCTGCAAAGATCAAGATTAAAGAGGAATCAATATAAACAGTTAGGAAGCCGAACGAATAAATACACTTCTGACTAAATACATCACTCTGACTAATCACAGAACTCAAATACTAGAAGATGTATGCCCATTCCAAGAGAGGTCCTAATGACAGATTTCAGAGTGTCACCCTCTTTATGGAGGGCACTTCATTAGTGGAATTTAACTTTCTAGGTCCAGAATTCAAACCTTCTCAATAAACGAGACAGGGTAACAACGATAACTCTGCTCAAAGGCTGAAGCGCGATAGTCTTCATAAGCCTGTTACATAAAAATAATCAGTCAAAGAAGTTCCAAACATTTTGCAAGCCTGGCACAGCAAATCTAAGTTGGCAACTGAGACCCGCAAATATTTCAAACTAAAACCTAATTTTTCTGGTCAAATCTAAAACCTCCTTCATCCTACAAACATCAATCACTATCACTATTCAAGGTTGCTAAAATAAACAAAAATAGAAACTAAACTGCCAGCCCAATCAAGTCATCAACTTTATTCTCAAATCCAATTTTAGAAAGCACAAACTAAAAGGAACAAAACAATGGTCATTCAACTTACCATATTCACTGGGTCCAACAAGCTTTCCAACAACCAAAAATTACTGATTTCCTGCCAAATAAGCAAAATACAATGAGAAAACATAAGGGAAAAAACCCAATTCTCAATTAAAATAAAAAAAATTCAGAATACCCATCAAAACACACAGATTTCAGATACAAAAGTTGTAAACAAAGATACCCAATGCTGTCCACAGAAAGCAAACAAAGAGGAGAAGAAGAAGAAACCCACTATCTGATTTCAAACAAAAGGATTGAAAACAGAATACCCAGAAGAAATTAGAACAAAAAGTTGATGAATTTGATGGTGTTAAAGTACAAAGTGGGAATTTTGATTGGCACCTTTAAGATTGTACTGGATGATGATGGTGCTGGGTTTCTTTGTTGCTAGCTGGGTCTGAGCAGGGAGTGATCCGAGTTTTTGGTTAAAGAGTCTTTTATTCGGACGGAAACTTAAACGTCTCCTATTGGGTAGTGGCTGGCTCGTAAAATACGACGAGTAACTTTTATATCTTCTTTTCATTTTACCTTGTGCTTTTTGTTTAAGGGTGGAATTCTCGGGACGTTACATCACTTTCAAAGAAAATGTCGAACATGCTGGTAATGACTAAAAGACATCGAGATGTTTTACGATGGAGATTTCATATAAGACGTTGCAGCTGAGTTACTTAACTCATTATTTTTTAGTTGTTTTATTTATTTATTTATTTTTTTTACAGTAAACAAAGATGTAGTTAAATGTTTTTAGTTTAATTTTTTCATGCATGTCTCTCATAGACAACCAATGGTCTTAGGCATTTTTTTTTACCACATTTTGTTTGAGTTTATAATTTTTTTTCTCACCTTTAGTGTACATATCGCTTGTGTTCAAAGAAAAAAAAAGTTTACATATTCTTAATAAGAACCGATTGTTTTCTTGATCATCTTTATGAAAAAACGACCACGATATATTACATTTAATTGGCAAAGGAATAAATTGATACCATACTATTCATGAAATTCAAACTTAAAACTTGAGGAATTCCACCAAGATTCCAAATGAATGAAAACGTGATTGAATTGGTCATCGTTACTCTTCAAAACGGAATGCAAGAAGGAAAGAGATTCTTGAATGAGGAAAAGAATCCAATGACTTTAAAAGAATAGAAGGAGGAGACGTATAAAGTGAAAATCTCATGTACGGTCCTATAGGATTGTAGTAAGGATGACTTATCTATTAACTTTTTTATTATTATCACCACAAAACTAGACCATGATATTAAATAACATTTTCTTAATCATATCTTAAGGATTTGGCCACAATAATGGATCAAACAAATTCCATAAATTGAACAAATTTAAGTTTTGTTACACCGGGCTAGGCTTAGACCCTACCCATTTGAAAAAGGACCTAATAACGGTGCCAAACTCCGGCCGGTCCATCAGCCTTGGGCTATTACAGGCCTTGCTTGCAAATCCAAATCCAACCCTACACCAAAAGACGGTAGCTTTTCTCATCACTTGCGCATTCTGCGTGCAGTATCCACACTAGTCTTATCATGGAGAATTCTCTGTTCGAAAAAAGGAACAAAACTTAACGTGGTGAACGGCAGCGGCTGTCTGCTTAATCAACCTCCTTCTAACCACTATGTCAACGAGGATATCTTGGCTGAGATACTGTCACGGCTTCCAGCCAAATCTTTACAACGATTTCGGTGTGTATGCAAGCCATGGGGTGCTTTAGTCTCCAATTCTGATTTCCTTAAGAAGCAAGGCCTCAACGTCAAAAGCACAAGGTTTCTTTACTCGACCGGAACTCATTTCCGATCCATAGACGGCGAAGCATTATTATTGTTGAAGAAGGATAACGACGGCGGCGAAGGTGGTCATGTTGCAATGAGAAAGTATAATATTGATTTTCCTACATGGCGGTTCTCAAGTAAAATTGTGGGTTCTTGCAATGGCTTGTTATGTCTAACTTATTTGGCCACAAAAGACCAGAGAGACGTTGTCTTATGGAATCCTAGCACTAGAGTTGTCAACACCTTGCCACAAATTGATTCGCCTCCATTCGATGATATTCCACCTTTTCGCTACTATCGGATGCTCTATGGATTCGGTTATGATTCCACAACTGATGATTACAAGGTTGTATTCGGCATTGTCAAGGACTTGTGTGTAACCTTTGCGATCTTTTCACTAAGAAAAGGTTCGTGGGGTACTGTTAGCTGTAAACATCTTCACTCGAGTTGTGCAGATCCAAGCCATGGGTGCTTGCTAAACGGAGTTCTGCACTGGTTAGACTTAGGTATGGTTTGGAGTTGAGGTGATTTTAAAAAAAGTTGGTATGAAAAAAAGCTAGGAGAGTTTTTGGTGTTTGGTAAACACCCCTAAAACAGCTTTATTTCAAAGTTTCAGATGAAAAAAAGCTAAAGATGGGAAGTTGCAAAAGACAGCTTCAGAAATCACCTTCTTGTGAAAACACGGAGCTACAATGATTTTATTAATGAAAATTCCAAATTCCCAAACCTACCCTCACTTTCTGGTTCGAGCTCCCTTTCTCTAGCCCTCTCTCTCTCCGTTCAAGCTCGATCTCTGCCTTTCATCAGGTTCAAGCACTCTTCATCAATAAAAAGGTAAATTTCCTTTTTACAACCTTTATTTTTGGTAATTGGAATATTGACTTGAATAATTGGAAGGTAGAATTGGAAGATTTGGATTTCTGGGTAATCTGGGTGATATGCGATTCTGGGTAATCTAGGTTTCGGAGTGATGCGGCCGGCGACAATGGACTTCTTCAACGACATGGAAGACCACGGCTCCACCATGGCCATGGAAGCGCAAACCCAATCTCAGCTGCGGCGACCAGCTCGACTGCCCCAACAAAGCCCAGAGCTTGAAGTTCCCCATAACAGTCCGTTGGCTGCCAAAACTAAAATTCAAACCCCAGAAAATTTGAACAACAACTCCTCCATTGGTGAAGAGAAAACCTGTAAGTTTGAAGTCAATGTTGACCTTGAAGATGAAGACGAAGACGAGGAGGAAGATTACGAAGAAGAAGAAGAAGAAGAAGACGATGAAAAGTCTAATGGGATCGCAAGGGGAAGGGGATTTGAGAGATGACAAGGGCAAAGGGAATAAAAAATTCTGATTCCATAATAAAAGAAAAGGTAAAGAGTAATAGTTGTATAGTAAATATGTTGGATTATGATTTGTTGTTAAACGTTGGATTATATGTTTAAGATAAAGTTTATAAATATTTTTCTTTTAAAAATAAAGTATATTTAGTAATTCACCTTTATTTGTTAAGAAAATTAAATTAATAGCATATCTAGTACTATACCATTTTTGATCATTTCACACAGTCACGGCTATTTTACATAAAAATTTACCAAACACTATCATACTGCTTTTTTTTTTTTTTTTTTTTTTCAAAAGCAATTTTACAAAAAAGTTTACCAAACATTCTGCTGCTTTACAGCTGCTTATTTTTACAGCACGATAAAGACAGTTTTTTTTTTCAAAATACAATAATACCAAATTAGCCCTAAGTGCCTGATGAATGGCACTATGGTTTCCGACGCCAGTTTCATGGTAGGCCGACACCAAAAATCGTCTCTTTAAATTTGGCGGACAAGAAATTTCAGGATTATCCAAGTTTCCAGAAACCAAAACATGTAAGGAGATAGTAATGGGAACCACTAGAAATTGTCTCCTTGTATCCTTCTTCGATACCTGTTGGAAAAGAGATGATATAATTACAATATAGTAATTATTGGACTAAGCTCGTACAAATTCCTTCAGATCTCTGACTGTATAATGATCCTTGCGTTGTACCTATATCCATTTTAGAGAATGGTGAAGTTTTGATAAGTGACAGTTCAGGTCTGGTATTACACAATCCAAAAGAAAAGACAGTTAGGACTGTTCTCCAACTCGAGCATCGTGCTGATTGTGCACTTACGTATGTGGAGACCACAGTTTCACCAGTAGCCGGCATCTAAGAGCATTTCCACCGTTGCAAACAGCTCGGGGGACAGTGTCCAAAACAATGGCCCGAGGGCCGGTGGGAGGCCTCCAGCATGAGGTAGCTCGGTGGAAGGGGGAGGCCCGAGCAAAGGGCCCGTGAGGGATTGCCAGCCCTTGAGCCCGAGGTGGGAGTGACGCAAGGCTAACGCCAGGGTGGCGTCAGCGCATTATTTAATTTTTTTTGTGTCAGGCGCGTGCACCCCACCCGCGCGTGGGGGCGCGTCCCGACACAAAAATCAGAAAAAAAAAGGTTGTGTCAGTTACTGTTGGGAAGCCACGTGGCTTCCCACGGTGCGTTAGATCTTAACGGTCACTTAATGTGGACCGTTAGATCTCAACGGTTAAAAAAAAAAAAGTGTCAGATTTAATATCCACCGTTCGATCTGAGATCAACGGTGGATATTAAAATGCTTTATAAATTAAAAAATAAATGAAAAAATAGTTTTAAAAATCTGAAAAGTTACCGTTGTGACACGTGGCACAATCTGGAGCGTTGGAATTCAAATTTTTTTATATCCAACGGCAGAGATTAATTAATTGAATAAAAATTAAAAAAAAATTGTAAAAAATTCAAAAAAATTCAAAAAAATATCTGAAAAATCTGAAAAAAATTGTAAAAAAAATTGTTTTTACTTTTCTATAAATACCTTCTCATTATCATCTACCTTACACAACAATTTCATATTTTCTCAACTACTTTCAATCACATTCCTTTCTTTGTCTCAAAGTTTGAATCCATTTTTTTTCAACAAAATGACCACTGGTGCAGGTACGAATTGGTCGCTTATTGAAGATGTTGCGTTGTGTACTAGCTGGGTTGAAGTTACTCATAGTTCGCTTACGGGTAATGAGATGCAGTTGCGAGAAATGTGGAGTCTTATTCATACCAATTATCTTGAGAAAATTGGTGGGAAAAGAACCAAAGAATCGATGTCCAGTCGTTGGAAATTACTTAGCCAATCGTTTAGTACATGGAGAGACGCTTTGGCACAAGCTAGTAGTAATATTCGAAGTGGGGAAAATTACTCGGATATGGTAACAAGATATTATTTATTTGATACCCAAATTTACATTATAATTATTTGTTTGTATTATTTATTTGTTATCTATATAATTTATTATTTATTGTTTGTATTATTTATTTGTTACGTACAAAATTTATTATTTATTGTTACTTATTTGTTACATTATAATTATGTTGTTTGTTACATTATAATTATGTTGTTTGTTACATTATAATTATGTTGTTTGTATTATTTATTTGTTTGTTACATTATAATTATGTTATTGTTACTTATTTGTTACATTTATTTGTTACATTATAATTATGTTGTTTGTATTATTTATTTGTTACTTATTTTCATTAAAATTAATGTATAATATCACTTACATTAAGAAAAAAAAATGTGTATATTTAAGGTTAAAATTATTTACTAAACTTGGAACTCTAGCCCCATGTTATGATTAACATGACATATATATATATATATATATTTGCTTGTTATGATTAACATGACATATATATATATATTTATTTGTTACTTATTTTCATTATAATTATTTATTTGTTACTTATTTTCATTATTTACTAAACTTGAAGCCTTCTTACTTATTTTCATTATATTTGTTACTTATATATATATGTATATATTTGCTAGTTACTTATTTTCATTATAATTATTTATTTGTTACTTATTTTCATTATTTACTAAACTTGAAGCCTTCTTACTTATTTTCATTATCTTTGTTACTTATATATATATATATATATGTATATATTTGCTAGTTACTTATTTTCATTATAATTATTTATTTGTTACTTATTTTCATTATTTACTAAACTTGAAGCCTTCTTACTTATTTTCATTATCTTTGTTACTTATATATATATATATGTATATATTTGCTAGTTACTTATTTTCATTATAATTATTTATTTGTATTATTTATTTGTTACTTATTTTTATTGTGTAGGAACTTCAAGCATAAGCTTGGTACGCTGCCAAAACCAAAAGCAAAAATAAATCATTCAACCGGTGGGAATGTTGGAATATTGTCAAAGATTGTCCTAAATTTAGAGTTGTGCCAGTTGGTCCAGAAATGCACATGAACAGCACCCCTCTACACTCTACACCCGATCATGAGAGAGCAGATGATGTAGAAGAAGTGCCCGAAACGCCCCTCCCTGAACAAGCGTCGGGTTCGACCCGTTTTCCAATTAGGCCTTAAGGTAAGAAGGCTTCAAAGAGAAAAGGGAGTGCTTCCAAGAACGATTATGCAAAGTTCATGGAAGAACTTACTCGCCAAGGTGAATTGACTTTGGCGAGGGAACTGGCGAAAGATGAGGCTGATAAGGCTGATAAGGCATCAAAAGCAGCAGCTGTTGAGAGAGAATTTTATGCTAATGAGAGAGAAAGAGAGCTACTTAGGCAAGAAATGGAACATGTTAGAGAAGAAAGACGGGCTCAACAAGATCGTGAGATTATAAACATGTCTTTAGAAGGGAAGTCTCCAAATTCTAAATTTTTTTGGAAGTCAGAGAAAGCGGACGTGGTGCGAAGGAGGCGTGCAAGAGAAACAATAGCAAGCCAAGGTGGTTCTAGCACCGCAAGAGAAGATCATCCTAGCACCACAAATTGGTTAAGTGATGATGAATAGAATACTTTTTGTAAACGGAGCTCATAATTTTCCAATCACTTTGGGTTGTAATTTATTATTTATTGTTTGCATTATTTATGTTGTTTCCATGTTCATGAATATTTATTCAAATTAATTTGGTAAGTTATTTATACTAAGAATTAAAAGTCCTTGTATAAAATAATTAAAAGTCCATCGTTCTAATTAAAAGTCCTTGTATAAACATAAACATAAACATACTAAGAATTACATATACTAAGAATTACATAAACATAAACATAAAAAAATTACATAAACATACCAAATAATAAAACACACCAAATAAAATAACATAAACATACCAAATTCAAAATAACACACTAAATGAACTTAATTATCTTCAGCTTGTTTCAATGCCCACTGGTGCTCTATCAAGTCAATTTGTCGGGCATTGTGCATGTCTGGCATTTGAAATGCAGTATATCGTTGAATGAGCCTTTCATTGTAACGTCCATCCCTTTGTAATGGCTCATGTTGCACGGGCTCATCGGTGGCGTCATGAGCACAATATATACGTGTTCTTGAATTGTTCATCGGGTCTGGCTCATATTCATCAACAGCTTCATAATCGTACTCATCTTCCACAATCATGTTGTGAAGAATGATGCACGTCATCATGATGGATCGAAGCGACTCTATATCAAACAATCTGGCAGCAACCCTGACGATCGCCCAGCGAGCTTGGAGGATACCGAAACAACGCTCCACATCCTTCCTGCACCCCTCTTGACAGCTTGCAAAGTGTTTTTCCTTCGCACTCCGCGGACGTGGCACTGTTTTGACAAATGTTGACCAGCGCGGGTAGATACCGTCAGCTAGGTAGTATGGCCCGTCGTACATATGTCCGTTGACCTCATACGTAACTTTTGGTGCCTTTCCTTGCAGGACATCGTTGAACACTAGGGATTGGGCAAGGACGTTGATGTCATTTTGAGCTCCCGGGACCCCGAAAAAGGCGTGCCAAATCCATGTATCAAAAGATGCCACCGCCTCCAGAATGATACTTTTTGCCCCTTTTCTGTCCTCGTAAGCGCCTTGCCATGCACTTGGACAGTTTTTCCACGTCCAGTGCATACAATCAATGCTTCTAATCATCCCAGGAAAGCCACGCATCTCCGCCTTCTTCAACAGCCGCTCCAAGTCCATGTGTGTGGGTTTGCGGAGGTACTCAGCGGTGTAGATAGATTCGATTGCTCCGCAAAACCTCATCAGGGACTCAAGAATGGTTGATTGCCCCATCCTCGTTATCTCATCCACTTGGTCTGCAGATGCTCCATATGCAAGCATCCGCAAGGCAGCAGTAATTTTTTGCTCCGGCAGTAGACCCATAGCACCAAAAGCATCCTTTTTTTGCACAAAATAAGAATCATGGTTGCAAACAGCAATCATGATTTTGTTGAACAAATGTCGTTCCATTCTAAAACGACGTCTAAAGTACGTATCAGGGAATGCACTATTAGGAACAAAATAATCATCCAAGAGTTCCATACCTCGTCGTTGCCTGCTTCTATCAAGGTTTCCGGAACGGCTGGGCCTGCAGATCTGAGCCGCAGCTTGGATGACTCGACGGGAATGTGAGGCTCTGCCCCTTCTTACTTCGTCATCTCTCATTTGACGCTCCTCATCCTCTTCCCTCTCATTTCTTACCCCTTGGTGATTGAACATTGCTTCTGATTCGTTAAACAAGTCTTCCTCTTCCTGATTCAATTCCCACATCATCCTTGAGGAAGAAGAAGAAGACATTGAAAGAAAGAAACAGAAACTATGAATAATGATACTGATTTTTGTGAATAAGGAAGCAGAAATTATGAATAATGATAGAGATCTTGAGAATTTTGGTGTGAGATTTGTGAAGATGGATGGTGGATTATATAGAGGATTCAGAAAGGATTAGGTTCTGCATAATGCCACGTGGCATGCCGTCATTCGTTAAAAATCTGATGGAAATCTATCATCAAAGATTGTGAACAGATTATGACACGTGGCATGCCGTCATTCGTTAAAAATCTGATGGAAATCTATCCTCAAAGATTGTGAACCGATTATGACACGTGGCGCGACGTGATTGGTTAATAATCTTATCAGAAATCCATCACCAATAATTGTATTATTTTGTATTATTTTGTATTATTTAATAATACTTCGGATAATGACACGTGGCGCAACGAGAACGATTAAAAATCTTATCCGATATTACAATTAAAATTATTTTGTATTAATTTTATAAATAAAAAAAATACTAATATTTTATTGCCTATTGCCGGGCTATAGAAGTGTAACGGTGGAGATGCAAAATCTATTGCAAGGGCTACTTACTGTTCATTAAGGGCAATTACTGTTTATTAGGTGGATTGAATAGTGTATTGCCAGGGGGGAGGGCTCCAACGCTGGAGTTGCTCTAATCCAAAGCTTGTGAGTTTTCATTTGCCTTCCTGATCTCTACCTAAATGGCATTATATTTGCAAATGAATTTGTTTCTAGTCTTTTGGCTTTGTATTTTGTTTCTTCCGTACGAAAGCTTTTAACTTGATGATTAACATTCAGTTTAATTTTTTGTATTTTTGCTGCTTGGTGTTTTAATTGTAACAATTACCAAAAGCGAAGTTAGAAATCAAAAGCAAAAGGGGTCTTTAAGCTGTATGGAAAAAATCAGATAAAATATAGCAATATAATTAATTGAAGAAAAATGAACTCTTTTTTATTAGCATGGAAAATTTCAATCAAACAAGATGGAACTTCAAAATTTATATGAAAAATTTAGTATTGAGACGATAATATCATAAGAACAAATCTTGGTTACGAGGTTTGATAAAAATAAAAATAAAATTACCACATTGGTGGTCTTTCGATGAAGTTGTACGTTCTTGCAAGGGCTTGAAATGTTTAGCTTGGTTACTACGACACTGTATAGACATTCTCTTATGGAACCCTAGCACTAGAATTGCCAAATTCCTACCACTAAAAACATGGAGTAACCGTTGACTATGACAATGCTGACTTGGTTTGTGATCTCCGTGGGTGCTCGTTAAACGGAACTCTGCACTGGGTATATCCCTCAAGAATTGTCTGTTTTATTTGTTGTGCTTCAAAAGAGTGAGTATGATAGGAATTCATACTACCCTGTGTAATAAGTGCTTGTGAAAAGAATCTTGTTAGTATTTATTCAATTCAAAAGTATCGTTTTTATTTTCCATTTTCGTATAGTGTTTGTAACGGGTTCGAATCGTGGTAAGCCTTTTTTCAAAGCAAGAGTAAAGGTGCTTACAATAGACGTTCTTCTCCGATCCTCGCAAAGTAGAGAGTCTTATTGTGTAGTGTTTGTAGCAATTGAGGGAGGAGAGGGATAGATTCATTCAACGATTGGGCGTCAAAGTTTTTCGTTCTTTTTTTTTTTAATACGACTGATACAGGAAAGAGGTTCAAACCTAGAATTTTGGTTGTAAGCATCGATGATCTTAACCACTTGTGTTGAATTGAAATAGAGCATAGAAGGGTTGACAAACGTCAAATCTGATAATATAGTTTGAAATCTATCAATATTTTGGAATCCACTAAAAAATAGAAAAATCTCTTAATTTGATTGACGATAACATGCTAAAGTTGTATGTTTTGAACTTGAAAATCTAATTAATAAAGGAAACAGAAGAATATCCTAAGTAACAAAAAAATAAAAAAATCCCAAGTAACGGATAAGGATCTATCCGAATCTTTTTATGGGGAGTTTATCGTCTTCATTCATCGTATTAGTACGATTAATTTTCGTCAGATACTAATAATTTAAAATAATTTTTTACAGTAAAATAACAGACACGATAAAATGGTTCTTGAAATCATCACATAAAAGATTCAGATAGGACCGTATTCCCTGAGTAACTTGTAAAAAGGAAACCAAATTCTTATGGAACAAAGAAAGGAGAATTACCCCAAAAACCCTAAGCCCAAAAGAAGCCCATTACTAGAGAGGGTCAAATTTGTCCTTTCGTTCGGTAAATTTCCCATTCGTCCCCAAAAGATACCCTAGTTTCCTCGCTCTTTGCCTTCTCCTCCCTCAGTTGCAGAAGAAATAAAGGAAATCTTTTTCCTTCACGGCGGAGCCTCCGCCAGAGAAATTCCAGCTTAAAGTTATCGCCTTCAGTTCTTAGTTGGATTGCATAGGAAAAAACCAGGGCTAATATGGCGAAGCGGGAGCTTTCCAGCACTCTCAGGAACTTAAAGGTAATAAGAAACGAAGAAATTTGAAATTTTTTTGGTTTTTCGATTAATTTTCGGTATTTATTTCTGTTTTAAATTATTATTTTGATAATCCCACTTGGAATTTGATCTGGGTTTTGCTTAAATTCTTCTTGGGGACTTTTAATTTTAATTTTCATACTTTCTGATGCTGCTGTATTTAGATTTTCAGAGTAATTTGTTATAATGGGGTTGTATTATTAATTCTTTAGTGTAATTACTGTAGTTTATGCAAAGAGCAACTCAGAGAGAGGTGAAGAAAGAAGAAGATGCCAAACCTGCTGCAGATTTTGCTTTCCCTGCCCGTCAAATAAGAAAGTGGTAGATTTTCTTTCTCTTTGTTTCTTGTTCTAATATTTATCTAAAGTTTGAGCTGTTTTGCCTATTGGATTACATTACTGAATAGAGTTTCAGTGTAGATCGTCGCTTCGTAATTGTTTGTTGTTTGATAGTTCGATGGGAAAGTTTATTTTGTGACCTAAGTCGGTGGAGTATCTGAGAAATTGAAGAAATTATGGATTTATTGGTATTGAAAAATTGGGGCTTAGGCAAGGTTCGGTGGGCTGGAGCCTAACGGCTAGGCACAGCCTAGGCGGATTTAAGTAAATCTATTATATTTTGTGTAAATAGGTGTCCGTTTATACTTAAAATATATATAATTTCATCGTAAACTGCAAGATAAAATGACATATTTATGAAGTATTGGGACATAATGAAAACATTGGGAACAAGCATATAATGTGTGTTCATTTAAGTATTCAACAAGTCTTTACAATTTATTGAAAAATAAAATAAAATGCAAAATGAAAGCTATCTATTTTTTGTCTATGTGAGTCGCAACATAGTCGAGTGCATAGGTGGGTCTGGGCTTAGGGGGTCTAGGCGGGCGCTAGGCGGGAATATTTAGAACAGTGGTCTTAGGAGAACCAGTTTGTAGAACCTAACTATAAGCTACAACTTTGAGTCTTCGAGGAGCTAGTTTTACATAATTAGCATTAATAAAGTTAACCCTTTTTGAGGTCCCTTAGTGTCGAGGCAAAGGCATTAATGTCTCAACGTGGAAGTGCAAAGGCCTCGATTAAGATAACTCCATGCATTGAACCGGAGACAATTACATCTGTCTGCTATAGTAATTCATTAGTTACACTACTCCATCTCCTTTTTTTTTTAAATTTACCTGCTTCATGTGGATGGCTGTGCAGTGTGGTCATAGTGGAAGGTGACCCTCAACCTGAAGCCATTAGGGGGCGGATGTCATTTCAAAGCTTCAATCCATCGATTGATGTGAGTAAAAGGTTCATGGACCTTAAGATTTCTAATAGGATTGGCCTCTTGTGTACTTATTGATTGGCTTTATTTTCACCTCACATAGAAGTGCTTTCATGATAGAAACTGAATCAAGTATCGGAAAACCCTGGTCAGCCTGCTGCCCCTGCCGCATCTTCTGGCGTTCAAAGTGAAAAAGTGTCATTTAGGTGGGTAATTTGAGATTTCATAACTCGAATTTTTTTTTTTTTTTTGGTTCTTTTGTCTTTTTTAAATGAAATTTTTTCGTCCATTTGTAGTAAGGAGACTAAGAAATACATGTTGGCAAAAATATCTTCTAAAATTTGGCTTCTGCTCTCCTATGTTCTTTCTCCTATTTGCATTTCAACAGAGAAAATGGGTCCTCAATGGATGAAGCAGAGTGCTCAAATACTAATAAGTCAAACAGTAAGACTAATGGAGACCATAAAAGAAAACAGTCTGAAGCGGTTTCTGGGAAACAACATCCGAACAAGTCGCCCAAACTTAATAAAGGTGATCAGCAGCCGTCACCAAATACAAGTAAAGGTTCCTTCAGGAAACCAACGGGTAACAACCTGAACTGGAACGTTCTTAGACCATCAAAGGGTCAAAACAAAAGAGGTTGAGCATTAACTAGGTGATTCACTTATAGTTGTGTGTACTTAATTTTTGAATTGCTTTCAGGCCCTATCATTTGAATCTGTAATCCTGTTGTCAAATATTTAATGCTTGGTTCTCATAATTCAAATTTGTTAGATTTTAAGATGATCTGGTTTCTCTATTTTTAGTATAATAACGAGTTCTAGCTCCAATCTATGGTTATTGATATATTTCTCTTAAAGCTTCCTCATTTTATTTTGAACCTGCTATCCAATCAGTGATGCTAGGATATTTTAGATGCAGGAAATTGTGGTTATTTGTTAGTATTTTTAACCTCTAGTGCTTAAGGCTAGTTTTTTTCGTATCTGCTTCCACGAGTATGAAAAGTTAAATGCGCATAGCTATACCATTACTTATTACAGTCATGCTTTTAAAACATTGATTACAGTACTATGAGCTACACTTTTGGCATTCATGTTGCTTTGGTAACACAACCCATCCAGAACTCTTAAGTACCATTTTTTTTTTCTTTAGTTAATTTCGAATCAAGTTTTCCTTATTCCCCGAAGAGGGTAAGAGGCCGCTGATTAATGTGCCTTTCTTGGTTCATTTGTAACTTGAGGGGGAGTTCAGGATGCTGTAGTAGTAAAAGCATATATGCATTACGTCTAAAAAGGAGTGGGTGTCACCCAGCGCTTTTCGTCTGCATTAGTATCCTAATAGGGATTGTACATGACATTTATCTGTTAGTTTTTGTAATTGTGGAAGTTTATTAGTCATGACTCATGCGTTGATATTATGTTTCAAATTCATAAATGGTCTTGGTTTAAGACAGAATATTTTCTTGTAAATCCTGTTTCAGCTAGTTGATTGATTTCTCATCCCTCTTGTTTACTACCCATCTTCGATGCATCGCAATGATTTGAGTACTATGATTCCTTGCAAAGTACAAATTTTTTCTTGGATGAGGCTTGAGCATTATATCATCACTTGACTTTGTAAATTTACGGATGAAAGTTTTCACCCTTTTTATTCTTCACTGTCCCGTGGCTTTGCAGTATATGTTTACATTTTCCTGAAGGCTATTTTTGTGGAGTTGTCATGTGTGGACAATTTTTTGGGTTGCTCGGTAGGAGAGAATGGTAGCATTTTCTTAGGGCAAATGTAGGAAGTGAATATTTTGCGGGTTAGGGTTGAATATTGGGCATCCGATTGGACTTCAGTCTTTAATTTTGTTAGAGACGTTTCGTTCTGTATTCGGCGCTGATTAAAGGGGTGCCATCTATTTCAATTTTTAATGATGATTCTGATCAGCTGGTTATTCGGTTCCAGTGCTGGTTACATGTTTAGTTTTCGAACAAAAACGTAGAGTTTATAGCTTTGCGTTTTTGTTACTTCTTGTTTGTGGTTCAACGATCAGGTTACCGGCGTTACGATAAGATGCAACGGAGAATTGTGGTGAAGATACTGTGGTTCCTAGGTTTATCAGCAGGTTTAGCACCCAGGAGAATACGTATGGTTCTCTGATGCATTTATCGATCGGTCTTCAAGACATAAAGATAGAACTTTCATTAAACTGGACTATTAGTACACCCAAATCAGATTGTAAGAGAGGGGATAGCTAACCTTAGCCACTCTACTAACTAGCACATAAGTTATAACTACATATCATGCTCATAAGTTCTAAGCAGCACTACCTAATCTAACCCCATAAAACTACTCTCCGGAAGTCCGAAAACCAGCAGAAATCGAGCTGACTGCTAGTGCGAAACACATTTCCGGCATTGCCTTCCATTTGATGCACAAGAAGCCAAACAGGTGCCCTTGTTACATCGAGGTTGCCGTAGCGCCTTTTGTAACTCTCAAACAGGTTTCCAGTACGAAATGGCATGGACTATCCTGCCCTTCCATCCCTGCAACACCCACATGCCATCTTCGTCGACGATGAAATCCTTATGGTAATCTCTCTTCACCATACTCCTGACTAACTTCAAGATCTCCTGGTCCGACGGTAACTGCCTGAACCCAGCTCTCTTGTTTCTAATCTGCCACTGCTTGTAAGTCTCCGGCCTTTCGACCCTCCTTGAACCCTCACATGCTATCACATTGATAGCATTTCTACCATACACTTCTCTCTCATAGAGCAGCCTATGTTGATCTTCTCGTGGCAAAGTCTCGTCAAACATGTCGAACAGGGAAGAGAAATGGAAGAGCGCCTCCTTGAAGCGTGTGTCGAAGAAGGGTGCATTGTAGGATCCATTGACTACCCCATGGATGAATATATCCGGGTTAATTTCCCGGATCAGCTTAAGAACTGTATCCCTCGGACAGTCTGTCACTGTTTCATCGGGTAGGTTCTTTAGCCGGTACAAGCAATTGACTACAGTTAACTCATCTCCGTTGATTTTGATATCCTCATACCGAATTGTTTCCCAATTCTTTGCTATGGCAGTGTACTCGAACTGGACATTGAACCTCTTGCAGTAATTCTCTAGGCGGCGCCCTGTCTGTTCAACCCTTTCTGAAGGCCGAAAACCTGGTTGGGGAAACTCAACTCCAGTAATACGAAGCATGGGAGGTCCGCCATGTCTCTTGGAGAGGCCCTTGATGAGGCAAGGCCATTGGTAGCCATAGAGGACACCGAAATCAATGATGTGAAGCCTCGTCGCTTTCTCCGCTAGTTTCAGAATCGTTTTGTTAGCATAAAAATTCGACATCTTGTGGAAAGGGCAAGCCCTGATGTAAGTCTGGTAAGCTTTTAAGAGATCCGCAGCTGACATCTGACTGTTGGGAAGGGAATTGTACGAGGGAACGCCAGAACCCAAGCGCAGTTCGAGGCCATCTGCCAAGTAATGAGCTAATCTCTGCGTGCCATCGCCGTAGGGAGAGGAGTTCAGCCTTATCTGCTGGAGTAGTTCATTTGCATTCCTTCTGTCATAGCTTGCAACAGCTTGTGCACATTGAGTCAGCATCGACCATAAATCAACCATCCCTGCATTGTCGTCTGGCTTTTTCTTGCGTGTTTTCTTGCCCTTCGATCCTCTCGACTTCCCGTTGAGCTGCAACTTCTCGCTTTCCTGGGGAGAACATGAGTTGGACTCTTGTTTGTCAATCTCACAGAGCAGTACCTTATCAAGCAGCTCCGGTAGTTCAATTTCATCAGCATAAACCGCTGAAAGCTTGTTGCTCCTCCCGTCATCTACAGAATCCTCGTCTTCCCTCTGGCGATTCTTCTTGCTCCTTGATCCGTTCTCCGAATTAAAACTCACATCCTTACCCAGCAGCTCCCTCGGCGCCATAACAAACGATGAGTTGTGTTCCAGATGCGCGATTTCACCGTCACCGCTCGAAACCAAAGGGTTTGGAATTTGGGCAGGAGAGGACTTGGAAACATCTTGAACCCAATCCCAATCCGATCCAACCCAGTTTCCAGCAGCAACAGAGCCAGAACTGCTGTGATTACTGCCCTGGTTCGGGCTCTCAACATATCGATACACGGAATCAACAAGTGGATCAGTTGAGAAGGGATTCTGCTCCTGAACAAGCACATCATGCAGTGATTTTTCAGCAGCTTGGAGGGCCAAACATTCGTGCAGCATGCACGGCTTGTTCTCCAAGTATTCCTCTTCCTCCATAAGCATCTGACTTATGTACCTGAGAATTTCATTGGATGTGTCACCGCTGTCCGGAGAATCCACCTCCGAGCTCACGCCCGGCGACGAAGATGAATCACTAACAGGGTCTGGATTGACAAGGAAGAAACTGGGATCGGTGAAATCATGGTTGGCTTCAAACTCATGAACAAGATTGGGATTCGAGTAGGCCGGAATGGGGGCTTGCTCGAACACGAATTTTTTCATGGGACTTGGAAGTTCATCCAGAAAGGTATCCATGACCTAACAGGATTCAGAAGCAAATGAGAAATCTGATTGAATGGAGACTAGGAAGAGTATGGACACATTGATATACATACATATATATACATACATATATATATTAAAATAGCCGCCAACTTGGAATATTTAAGGGCTTCAACGAACAATGATGGATGTTCTATGATATCTTTAAAATAATAAAATAGGAACGGTGATGATTCTTATGAACAAAATATCTTGACCTGCTGCCAAAAGTTTTATCTGATCATACCTTCCAGGAAATGAGAAAGCTCACTTTTTTAAGTTTGGCTCATATCACTTTGTACAATGGTCTAATAATATTAATTTTCATTTGTAAATAAATGATCTTAGATTCGATTCTCGTATAAAGGTGAATTTGAACCATATTATTGTTAGCCCATTGTAAGTCATAGCTCACTCCCTCATCCCATTAACGTAGATAATATTGTTTGTTCAAAAATAAAAAATCTAGCTTGGATTAATAGATTAATATGTCATCAAAATGGATTGATTTTGTTGGGAGAAAATTAGAAAATTTTATATGAACCCATTAACCTTTTCGTACACCAAATTTAAATGTTAAATGTGCATTGGTTTTTACCTAATTACATAATTACCATCAAGTACAAAATGAAATTAACAATAAAACTAAAATTTATCAATAAATCCAAATTCAATAATAAAACTCTACTATCACGCAAATTTTATGTTATGTTTACTCTAGCTAAAAACCTAAGATGCTCTGACCAAAAAAATAAAAATAAAAAAAAAACAAATAAGAAGCTCGTTTTGATCTATACATGGTGATTTTAAAATTTTGAATCCGCTAGCTAAGATATTAATTGATTTATGCAAGTTTTTTTTTTTTCATTTGGTTTCAATTTTTTAAGAATCCGGATGCCTGCAAAAATGACTTTAGCCAGGTAAAAGGAATACCAATCAAGTCGTTGTCTTTTTTTTTTTTTTTTTTCGTTTTCTTTCGAGTTTTTTTAGGGTCTAGGAGTGAAGGGTTTCAGCCATATGCGACTTTCCATGGACTGCGCATGCATGCTTTTCTGCAAGGTAGCCATGCGATTTTCCATAGTTGCAATAAGTGTCAGATCCAGAATTTTAGTATTGGATGGTCCCAATTTTATAGCAAAAAATAAAAAATAAACAGACCAAAATAACATTGAAAAAATAAACGACAAAGTCATTACCATCTATATGTCTACCAAAATGAGAATGAGTACAACTACATAATGTATAACTCTGATCGTGAATGCAAGACTATCAAAACTTCTACGATTAACATATAGATAAACATTGTGTTGAAC